CAGTGACTGATGGTGACTTGTAGTGACTAGTAGTGACTAGTAGTGACTGGTAGTGACTAGTAGTGACTGGTGGTGACTAGTAGTGACTAGTGGTGACTGGTGGTGGCTAGTAGTGACTAGTAGTGACTGGTGGTGACTAGTAGTGACTAGTAGTGACTGGTGGTGACTAGTAGTGACTAGTAGTGACTAGTAGTGACTGGTGGTCACTGGTGGTGACTGGTAGTGACTAGTGACTGGTGGTGACTTGTAGTGACTTGTAGCGACTAGTAGTGACTAGTAGTGACTGGTGGTGACTAGTAGTGACTAGTGACTAGTAGTGAACACTAGTAGTGACTAGGAGTGACTGGTGGTGACTGGTGGTGACTAGTGACAGGTGGTGACTAGTGACTAGTAGAGACTAGTAGTGACTAGTGGTGACTAGTAGTGACTGGTAGTGACTAGTAGTGAACACTAATAGTGACTAGAAGTGACTGGTAGTGACTAGTGACTGGTAGTGACTAGTAGTGACTAGTAGTGACTGGTAGTGACTAGTGACTAGTAGTGACTAGTTGTGACTTGTAGTGACTAGTAGTGACTAGTAGTGACTGGTGGTGACTAGTGACTAGTAGTGACTAGTAGTGACTAGTAGTGACAAGTAATGACTGGTAGTGACTAGTGACTTGTAGTGACTAGTAGTGACTGGTAGTGACTAGTAGTGACTAGTAGTGACTAGTAGTGACTGGTAGTGACTAGTGACTAGTAGTGACTAGTAGTGACTAGTAGTGCCTTGTAGTGACTGGTAGTGACTAGTAGTGACTGGTGGTGACTGGTAGTGACTAGTAGTGACTAGTAGTGACTGGTAGTGACTGGTAGTGACTAGTAGTGACTAGTGGTGACTAGTGACTGGTGGTGACTAGTAGTGACTAGTGGTGACTAGTAGTGACTAGTAGTGACTGGTAGTGACTAGTAGTGACTAGTGACTGGTAGTGACTGGTAGTGACTAGTAGTGACTAGTAGTGACTGGTGGTGACTAGTAGTGACTAGTGGTGACTAGTGACTGGTGGTGACTAGTAGTGACTAGTGGTGACTAGTAGTGACTAGTAGTGACTGGTAGTGACTAGTAGTGACTAGTGACTGGTGGTGACTAGTAGTGACTAGTGGTGACTAGTAGTGACTAGTAGTGCCTGGTAGTGACTAGTAGTGACTGGTAGTGACTGGTGGTGACTAGTAGTGACCAGTAGTGACTAGTGGTGACTAGTGACTGGTGGTGACTAGTAGTGACTAGTGGTGACTAGTAGTGACTAGTAGTGACAGGTAGTGACTAGTAGTGACTAGTGACTGGTGGTGACTAGTAGTGACTAGTGGTGACTAGTAGTGACTAGTAGTGACTGGTAGTGACTAGTAGTGACTAGTAGTGACTGGTGGTGACTGGTAGTGACTGGTAGTGACTAGTAGTGACTAGTAGTGACTAGTAATGACTATTAGTGACTGGTAGTGACTGGTAGTGACTGGTAGTGACTAGTAGTGACTAGTAGTGACTGGTAGTGACTAGTAGTGACTAGTAGTGACTAGTAGTAACTAGTAGTGACTGGTAGTGACTAGTAGTGACTGGTGGTGACTGGTAGTGACTGGTAGTGACTGGTAGTGACTAGTAGTGACTAGTAGTGACTGGTGGTGACTAGTAGTGACTGGTAGTGACTGGTAGTGACTAGTAGTGACTGGTAGTGACTGGTAGTGACTAGTGGTGACTAGTAGTGACTGGTGGTGACTAGTAGTGACTGGTAGTGACTGGTAGTGACTAGTGGTGACTGGTAGTGACTAGTAGTGACTAGTAGTGACTGGTAGTGACTGGTAGTGACTAGTGGTTACTGGTAGTGACTAGTAGTGACTGGTAGTGACTAGTAGTGACTAGTAGTGACTGGTAGTGACTAGTAGTGACTAGTAGTGACCAGTAGTGACCAGTAGTGACTAAGGACTGGTGGTGACTAGTAGTGACTAGTGACTAGTAGTGACTGGTAGTGACTGGTGGTGACTAGTAGTGACCAGTAGTGACTAGTGGTGACTAGTGACTGGTGGTGACTAGTAGTGACTAGTGGTGACTAGTAGTGACTAGTAGTGACTGGTAGTGACTAGTAGTGACTAGTGACTGGTGGTGACTAGTAGTGACTAGTGGTGACTAGTAGTGACTAGTAGTGACTGGTAGTGACTAGTAGTGACTGGTAGTGACTGGTGGTGACTAGTAGTGACCAGTAGTGACTAGTGGTGACTAGTGACTGGTGGTGACTAGTAGTGACTAGTGGTGACTAGTAGTGACTAGTAGTGACTGGTAGTGACTAGTAGTGACTAGTGACTGGTGGTGACTAGTAGTGACTAGTGGTGACTAGTAGTGACTAGTAGTGACTGGTAGTGACTAGTAGTGACTAGGAGTGACTGGTGGTGACTGGTGGTGACTAGTGACATGTGGTGACTAGTGACTAGTAGAGACTAGTAGTGACTAGTGGTGACTAGTAGTGACTGGTAGTGACTAGTAGTGAACACTAATAGTGACTAGAAGTGACTGGTAGTGACTAGTGACTGGTAGTGACTAGTAGTGACTAGTAGTGACTGGTAGTGACTAGTGACTAGTAGTGACTAGTTGTGACTTGTAGTGACTAGTAGTGACTAGTAGTGACTGGTGGTGACTAGTGACTAGTAGTGACTAGTAGTGACTAGTAGTGACAAGTAGTGACTGGTAGTGACTAGTGACTTGTAGTGACTAGTAGTGACTGGTAGTGACTAGTAGTGACTAGTAGTGACTAGTAGTGACTGGTAGTGACTAGTGACTAGTAGTGACTAGTAGTGACTAGTAGTGACTAGTAGTGCCTTGTAGTGACTGGTAGTGACTAGTAGTGACTGGTGGTGACTGGTAGTGACTGGTAGTGACTAGTAGTGACTAGTAGTGACTGGTAGTGACTGGTAGTGACTAGTAGTGACTAGTGGTGACTAGTGACTGGTGGTGACTAGTAGTGACTAGTGGTGACTAGTAGTGACTAGTAGTGACTGGTAGTGATTAGTAGTGACTAGTGACTGATAGTGACTGGTAGTGACTAGTAGTGACTAGTAGTGACCAGTAGTGACTAGTGGTGACTAGTGACTAGTGGTGACTGGTGGTGACTAGTAGTGACTAGTAGTGACTGGTGGTGACTAGTAGTGACTAGTGGTGACTAGTGACTGGTGGTGACTAGTAGTGACTAGTGGTGACTAGTAGTGACTAGTAGTGACTGGTAGTGACTAGTAGTGACTAGTGACTGGTGGTGACTAGTAGTGACTAGTGGTGACTAGTAGTGACTAGTAGTGCCTGGTAGTGACTAGTAGTGACTGGTAGTGACTGGTGGTGACTAGTAGTGACCAGTAGTGACTAGTGGTGACTAGTGACTGGTGGTGACTAGTAGTGACTAGTGGTGACTAGTAGTGACTAGTAGTGACTGGTAGTGACTAGTAGTGACTAGTGACTGGTGGTGACTAGTAGTGACTAGTGGTGACTAGTAGTGACTAGTAGTGACTGGTAGTGACTAGTAGTGACTAGTAGTGACTGGTGGTGACTGGTAGTGACTGGTAGTGACTAGTAGTGACTAGTAGTGACTAGTAATGACTATTAGTGACTGGTAGTGACTAGTAGTGACTAATAGTGACTGGTAGTGACTAGTAGTGACTAGTAGTGACTAGTAGTAACTAGTAGTGACTGGTAGTGACTAGTAGTGACTGGTGGTGACTGGTAGTGACTGGTAGTGACTGGTAGTGACTAGTAGTGACTGGTGGTGACTAGTAGTGACTGGTAGTGACTGGTAGTGACTAGTAGTGACTGGTAGTGACTGGTAGTGACTAGTGGTGACTAGTAGTGACTGGTGGTGACTAGTAGTGACTGGTAGTGACTGGTAGTGACTAGTGGTGACTGGTAGTGACTAGTAGTGACTAGTAGTGACTGGTAGTGACTGGTAGTGACTAGTGGTTACTGGTAGTGACTAGTAGTGACTGGTAGTGACTAGTAGTGACTAGTAGTGACTGGTAGTGACTAGTAGTGACTAGTAGTGACCAGTAGTGACCAGTAGTGACTAGTAGTGACTAAGGACTGGTGGTGACTAGTAGTGACTAGTGACTAGTAGTGACTGGTAGTGACTGGTGGTGACTAGTAGTGACCAGTAGTGACTAGTGGTGACTAGTGACTGGTGGTGACTAGTAGTGACTAGTGGTGACTAGTAGTGACTAGTAGTGACTGGTAGTGACTAGTAGTGACTAGTGACTGGTGGTGACTAGTAGTGACTAGTGGTGACTAGTAGTGACTAGTAGTGACTGGTAGTGACTAGTAGTGACTGGTAGTGACTGGTGGTGACTAGTAGTGACCAGTAGTGACTAGTGGTGACTAGTGACTGGTGGTGACTAGTAGTGACTAGTGGTGACTAGTAGTGACTAGTAGTGACTGGTAGTGACTAGTAGTGACTAGTGACTGGTGGTGACTAGTAGTGACTAGTGGTGACTAGTAGTGACTAGTAGTGACTGGTAGTGACTAGTAGTGACTAGTAGTGACTGGTGGTGACTGGTAGTGACTGGTAGTGACTAGTAGTGACTAGTAGTGACTAGTAGTGACTAGTAATGACTATTAGTGACTGGTAGTGACTAGTAGTGACTAGTAGTGACTGGTAGTGACTAGTAGTGACTAGTAGTGACTAGTAGTGACTAGTAGTGACTAGTGACTAGTAGTGACTGGTAGTGACTGGTAGTGACTGGTGGTGACTGGTGGTGACTAGTAGTGACTAGTAGTGACTAGTAGTGACTGGTAGTGACTGGTGGTGACTAGTAGTGACTAGTAGTGACTGGTAGTGACTGGTAGTGACTGGTAGTGACTAGTGACTAGTAATGACTAGTAGTGACTGGTAGTGACTGGTAGTGACTGGTGGTGACTAGTAGTGACTGGTAGTGACTGGTAGTGACTAGTAGTGACTGGTAGTGACTAGTAGTGACTGGTAGTGACTGGTGCTAGTCACCACTGAATGAGACGCTCCGTCATCTCGGCCGAAGGCTGCAAAGTCACGTCCAGCGCTGAGCACGGCGAGAAGCGAAAAACTCGCTCCTCCACCTCGTCCACCTCGTCCACCTCGTCCACCTCCTTGTCCACCTTGTACACCTTGTACACCACCTCGTCCCCCTCCTTGTCCACCTCGTCCACCTCCTTGTCCACCTCCTTGTCCACCTTGTACACCACCTCGTCCACCTCGTCCACCACCTCGTCCACCACCTCGTCCACCTCGTCCACCACCACCTCGTCCACCTTGTCCACTTCGTACACCTTGTCCACCTTGTACACCTTGTACACCACCTCATCCACCTCCACCTTGTCCACCTTGTCCACCACCACCTCGTCCACCTTGTCCACCTCATACACCTTGTCCACCACCTCGTCCACCTTGTCCACCACGTCGTCCACCTTGTCCACCTCCACCTCGTCCATCTCGTACACCTTGTCCACCACCTTGTCCACCACCTCGTCCACCTTGTACACCACCACCTCGTCCACCTTCAAATTGTCCACCACCTTCACCTCGTCCACCTCCACCTCGTCCACCTCGTCCACCACCTCCTCCACCTCTTCCTCCACCACCACCTCTTCCTCCACCAGCACCACCTTGTCCACCTCCTCCACCACTACCTCATCATCGTCCACCACTGCCTCCACCTCGTCCACCTCCACCTCGTCCACCTCCACCTCGTCCACCTCCACCTCGTCCACCTCCTCCGCCACCTCCTCCACCCGCGAAGCCATCGCAGAGTCGATCGGAATCGATTCTTCGATCCAGCGCCTGCAGAGCCGCACGAATCGATTCCGCGCAGCCCTAACCGTGGATCGGTTAGCGCAGCCTCATTTGTTGATTTGTCTTTGACGTCGATCGATCCTCTGCCCCCCTAAACTCCCCCCCCCCTCACCCCGTCTTAGTCAAGGGTCGAAGCTTCTTTCAATTCACTTATAGATTATCGATCAACACCGGGGTCGGGATTCGATTATTGAGTCGATTGAAACTTTTCGCTTTGGCGGCGCAACGAGGAATCGATGTTGCCCTTAGCAACCGCCGCCTGAGCGAGACGCTGCTACCTCTTCCGGAAGATCCCTTCCGGCCGTTTCTTATTTCACTCGGTTCTTCTTCTGGAAGATTCTGCCGGAAGGTATCTTCTGTATGTTTCTTTGGGGAATCAATCTGCTAATTAGAAGTATCTGCCGGAAGAAGTCTTCCGTGTGTTTCTTTGGAGACTCAATCTGCTTCTGGAAGACTCTGCCGGAAGATCTCTTCCGTGTTTTTCTTTCTAGAGTCAATCTGCTAACTGGAAGACTCTGCCGGAAGATCTCTTCCGTTAGTTTCTTTGGGGAAACAATCTGCTAACTGGAAGAAGCTACCGGAAGATATCTTCCGTGTATTTCTTTAGTAACCAATCTGCTAACTGGAAGGATCTGCCGGAAGATTTCTTCCGTGTGTTTCTTTGGGAAACAATCTGCTAACTGGAAGAATTTGCCGGAAGACGTCTTCCGTGTGTTTCTTTGGGAACGAATCTGCTAACTGGAAGTAGCTACCGGAAGATCTCTTCCGTTTGTTTCCTTGGGAAACGTTCTGTCGTCTGGAAGTCGCTGCCGGAAGATATCTACCGCTTGTTTCGTTGGGGAATCATTTTAAACTCCTGGAAGATTCTTCCGGAAGAGGAAACGGAGACACACAGAGACACACACAGACTCATAGAGACACACAGAGACCCATACTCATAGAGACCCACACAGACCCATACTCATAGAGACACACACAGACCCATACTCATAGAGACACATAGACCCATACTCATAGAGACACACACAGACCCATAGAGACACATAGAGACCCATACTCATAGAGACACACACAGACCCTTACTCATAGAGACACACACAGACCCATAGAGACACACACAGACCCATAGAGACACACACAGACCCAAACTCATGGAGACCCACACAGACCCATACTCATAGAGACACACACAGACCCATAGAGACACACACAGACCCATACTCATAGAGACCCACAGAGACACACACAGACCCATACTCATAGAGACCCACAGAGACCCATACTCATAGAGACACACACAGACCCATACTCATAGAGACTCACACAGACCCATAGAGACACACACAGACCCATATTCATAGAGACACACACAGACCCTTACTCATAGAGACACACACAGACCCATAGAGACACACACAGACCCATACTCATAGACACACACAGACCCAAACTCATAGAGACACACAGAGACCCATAGAGACACATAGAGACCCATACTCATAGAGACCCACACAGACCCATACTCATAGAGACACACAGAGACCCATAGAGACACACACAGACCCATACTCATAGAGACACACACAGACCCATACTCATAGAGACCCACACAGACCCATACTCATAGAGACACACACAGACCCATACTCATAGAGACCCACACAGACCCATACTCATAGAGACACACACAGACCCATACTCATAGAGACACACACAGAGACCCATACTCATAGAGACACACACAGACCCATACTCATAGAGACCCACAGAGACCCATACTCATAGAGACACACACAGACCCATACTCATAGAGACCCACACAGACCCATACTCATAGAGACACACACAGACCCATACTCATAGAGACCCACACAGACCCATACTCATAGAGACACACACAGACCCATACTCATAGAGACACACACAGACCCATACTTATAGAGACCCACACAGACGCATACTCATAGAGACACACAGAGACCCATACTCACAGAGACACACACAGACCCATACTCATAGAGACACACACAGACTCACACTAAAACTAAACTATGTTGCATGTTCCCAGCTGTAGGCCCCCACTGAGCTTCTGTGTAGTTCTGATTTTTTTAAAATAGTGACCCCTGTCCATCACAAACAGCATTTTCTAGCCAGGGGGTAAAAAACAAACTACCTATTCACTCACTCACTCACCCAGCCACTCACCCAGCCATTCACCCAGCCACTCACTCACTCACCTAGCCACTCACCCAGCCACTCACTCACTCACCCAGCCACTCACCCAGCCACTCTCTCACTCACCCAGCCACTCACTAACCCAGCCACTCACCCAGCCACTCACTAACCCAGCCACTCACCCAGCCACTCACTTACTCACCCAGCCACTCACCCAGCCACTCACTCACCCAGCCACGCACTCACTCACTCAGTCAGCCACTCGCCCAGCCACTCACTCACTCACTCACCCAGCCACTCACTCACTCACACAGCCACTCACCCTGCCACTCACTCACTCACCCAGCCACTCACTCACTCACCCAGCCACTCACCCAGCCACTCACTCACCCAGCCACTCACTCACTCACCCAGCCACTCACTCACTCACTCACCCAGCCACTCACTCACTCACCCAGCCACTCACTCACTCACTCACCCAGCCACTCACTCACTCACCCAGCCACTCACTCACTCACCCAGCCACTCACTCACTCACCCAGCCACTCACCCAGCCACTCACTTACTCACCCAGCCACTCACTCACTCACTCACCCAGCCACTCACTTTCTCACCCAGCCACTCACTCACCCAGCCACTCACTCACTCACCCAGCCAATCACTCACTCACCCAGTCACTCACTCACTCACCCAGCCACTCACTTACTCACTCACCCAGCCACTCACTCACTTACTCACCCAGCCACTCACTCACCCAGCCACTCACTCACTCACCCAGCCACTCACTCACCCAGCCACTCATTCACTCACCCAGCCACTCACTTACTCACCCCGCCACTCACTCACCCAGCCACTCACTCATCCAGCCACTCACACAATCACCCAGCCACTCACTCACTCACTCACCCAGTCACTCACTCACTCACCTAGCCACTCACCCAGCTACTCACTCACTCACCCAGCCACTGACTTACTCACTCACCCAGCCACTCACTCACTCACTCACTAACTCACTCACTCACTCACCCAGCCACTCACTCACCCAGCCACTCACCCAGCCACTCACTCACTTAACCAGCCACTCACTCACTCAGCTAGCAACTCATCCAGCCACTCACTCACTCACTCACACAGCCACCCATTCACTCACCCAGCCACTCACTCACTCAGCTAGCAACTCACCCAGCCACCCACTCACTCACCCAGCCACTCACTCACTCACTCACCCAGCCACTCACTCACTCAGCCACTCACTCACTCACTCACCCAGCCACTCACTCACTCACTCACCCAGCCACTCACTAACTCACTCAGTCAGCCACTCACCCAGCCACTCACTCACTCATCCAACCACTCACTCACTCAGCCAGCAACTCACCCAGCCACTCACTCACCCAGCCACTCACTCACCCAGCCACTCACCCAGCCACTCACTAACTCACTCAGTCAGCCACTCACCCAGCCACTCACTCACTCAGCCAGCAACTCACTCACTCATCCAACCACTCACTCACTCAGCCAGCAACTCACCCAGCCACTCACTCACCCAGCCACTCACTCACCCAGTCACTCACTCACTCACTCAGCCACTCACTCACTTACCCGGCCACCCACTCACTCACTCACCCAGCCACTCACTTACCCTGCCATTCACCTACTCAATCACTTAGCCACTCACTCACCCACTCACTCACTCAGCCACTCAAGCACCCAGCCACTCATTCACCCTGCCACTCACTCACTCAATCACTTAGCCACTCACTCACCCACTCACTCACCCTACCACACGCTCACCCAGCCACTCGCTCACCCAGCCACTCGCTCACCCAGCCACTCACTCACCCAGCCACTCGCTCACCCAGCCACTCGCTCACCCAGCCACTCGCTCACCCAGCCACTCGCTCACCCAGCCACTCGCCCACCCACTCACCAACTCACTCATCCACCAACTAACTCATTGACCCACTTACCCACTCACTCACCAACTCACTCACCCACCCACTCACTCGCCCAACCACTCACCCACAAGCCCCATCAATGCAGAAACGGAGCCTGGGCGTTGGAGTCTTTAGCAGGAGCCGGAGACCCCAATCAGAGCCCCCTCCACCCCCCCAGATGAGAGGGAGAGAGTGGGGGGTGATGGTGAGTGTGATGAGAGGGGTGATGGTGAGTGTGATGAGAGGGGTG